TTTATTGCACTTTGGTGGTGATGCGGACCATGGTTTGGATCCAGGATTTTTCTTTCTTTTTTTTCTAGAAAAGTTATAAACAGATTTAAATTTTTTAAAATTTACCTGAAGTTTGTCTTAGCCTAATTAATATTCCATAAAATGTTGGTGGTGATCTGGAACATTTGGGGGAGGGGAGGTTTGCATTTTCAAAGTGTTTTGCTCATAGATCAAACTATGTGTGATGAAAACATAAAGAAAATGAAATACTCCATATGAACAGCATATGTTTATTTGTATGAAAAATTTCTTCAATATCGTTTCTTGGACACTTGCCAGATTTTTTAGATTATTTCAGAAAAATTAAGGTTGGTATCAATTTATGTGAAATTTAATAAGCTTTCAGAAAAAAATTTTATTATCTCTAATCATTGCGTCACAATAGCCGATTTTCTAAGGTAACAGGGGGAAAAAATCAGTCGACATCGAAAATGGACGCTACCACCTAAAAAATAACGGTCAGGTCTTGAAATTTTCAGGGGAGAACCAGGGGCCTAGGAACTCCTTGAAAATGCATTTAACTGAATTTTGGCAAGACGAGACAATCCCCTTAAAGCCTGTTCACCACTGCAATTTTTTTATGACACATGTATTGTCCTCTAATTTGGCAAGATTCCTTTGGCCACACCCTGATATCATCCCATCTCCCATACCCTCACCCCCCCTTGGAGATGCTTGTAGTCCTGTTTTCCTAAGTGTTGCCTTCTGTTGTATCATCTTTTTAGTGTTTATACATCTAGAAATATAAATGACTTCATGACAGTATATTTAAGGTGAATTTTGCAAAAAGAAACATTATACATACTTGTAAATTGGTTCATTTACCAATAGATTTTTTATCATTTGATCGCTGAATATTCTTGTATTGCTCTGCATTTTATTACTGCTTGTATCTTCTGCCCATGGCAAATAACTAGATGTTAATGCTTCGTATTATATTTTGCAGCTTCAGTATCAGTCTCAGATTTATGTTGAAATGCCTTTCCAGATATTTTATCCATTGTCTAGATAGCAAGAAGGTAGAAAAATATTTTTTAGAGGTTTTATTCAAGAAGATACAGATTTTTTAAAAATCTGCACTGGCCGAAATTCCAAACTTCCTTCTTTCCAATCCAGACAGATGCAGTAGGGCTTGTCAGTGAAATAAATGAGAAGCACCTGGTTCCGTGGGCTGCCATTTGTTCAGCTGGTGGTTTAGACAACACTCCCCTCACCCCTTACATTGACCAGAACTCAGTTCATCCTAACCACCTGCACCTCGATGGTTCAAAGCTACGTAAGGAGGGATTCACATTTTCCGTGCCAAAGCCTAGTCAAGACAATCTTATGGAGGTAAGTTTTCCTTTTCCGGGAGAAGGGCATTGGTGAGAGAAGAATGATGGAAATGTAAAAATTTTAAAGGCAAATAAAGAATTTTAAGTGGAGTCCCTTTAAAACTATGAAAATAGAATCCTCAAGATATTTTTAGATGTGAGAAAGAATTTTTATGGCTTCTCTGTTGATAATAGATATAACAAACGTGAAAGAAAATTTATTTAGGATCCTCAAATACAAGTTCAGAAATACTTTTCTTGTATTACTGATATTACTAACTAAAGACAAGTGCTACTTGGAAAAATGAAGATTTTGTGCTTCCATTCTAATTGATTCAAGGCTACATTTTATGATTATTATATTTTGTTTCATGTCTCACAATGCTAAGTAAATATAGATGAAAAACATCAATTTTTATAGCTGTTTTTCTATGGTATAACTGATTAAAATATTTTAAAATGTGATCAGAAGAGGAAAAGAGTAGTTAGTTTGCCTGTGCGAATTTCCATAGGAGTTCTGGCAGATACATCATATTTGTATTTATAGTTATATTTAAAAAATGATAATTTTAGGCAGTTATTTTTGCTTTAATTTTGCATTAGTAGCTGAATACACTTTTCACTGTAGTGTTTCTATGTCACAACACAAAAAGGAAATGTGTTGAAGTAGTTAAGCCTTTTACGAATTCACATAGGAAAATATAAGTATAATTTGCACACAGATTGTTATGCATTTCAAATTCAAAATAAAGAAAAAGTTATTAATTTATCTTGACTTTGACATGTTACAGGTTTTGAAAGATTTCATCGGAATGAAGATGTTCCCAGCCAATGCTCTTCCAAGTCAGTAATAAAGTGCAAGACTACCTTTCATAAAGAATATATCAGGTGCAAAGGAAGCTGAGAGGTTGCATTGCATATAAGAAGGAAGACCTGTGAAGAAAAATTAAGCAGAAAAATCATTGGCCTCTTCAACCAGCAAGGCACAAGAAAAAATTCTTGTACATGTTATTGTTGTTATGATATCCCCCCCTCTTGGTCTGTGCTTAGAATTAAACATTAGCAAACATAATTTGTAGAACCTCCATGAGCTCTCATGATTTCAAAAAGTCTTTCAAACAAAGAAAAAAGAAGGAAAAAAGACCATGGTTATTAGTCAGGGGCCTTTTAAGACATACAATGTCAGTGATACAGTTTATTAGTTTAAAGGTTTTATACAAGCTAACAACTAATCAAATGAGAAGACAAATAAAACATTGATTAGTAAGCATAAGGCAATTAGTGTGCTTGTAGCATAAAAGTTTTTCCATTTCTTTTTTCCCTTTCTCATTTTTTCCTCTTTAAAAGTTCACAGTGGGAGAACTGAAGTACAATTTTCATTATTCTCTGGAGTGAATAATTTTCATTTTGCTGCTGTAATGAAAAGGCTTTGGATGCAGACACTGTGAAAAGATATTAAGCTAAGTACAGCATTCAAATTGTGATTTTGACAGGTACAGCAAATTGATGTCAAAGCAAACTCACTCTGGCTTACCTCTATACTGAGTGTCACTCCTCTCTTCTGTTCTCATTTTTTTTCTCTCTTCACTCCCTTTTTATGTTCTCTCCTCTCCCTTTCTTCCCTTCTTGCTTTCTCATTCTCTTTAACATTCTCATGAAGCAATTTTGGTTTGATTTAAGTGTTCCAAAGATGGTAAATCCAGTGACAAAAAAAAAGAAAGATATTTATCATCTGTGGTGCTTGGTTGGCTTTCATTGTGCCAATAGCATTCGTAGTCTTTTTCATAAGAGAAAAGAAGGAAATTTTGTTTTCAGATACCTTTTTTTGTCTCTGAAATGCTACCAGAAGGCACAAGCAGGTTATTCAACTTGTTTATCAGCATGGAGAAATAAATGTGACTATTGATTTTTCCAGGAAAGAATCTGGGAACACTAACAAGTCGCATATAAGGTCTGTTATTATCAGTCTCTGAGGGTAATGCGGCCATTGCTCAAAGGTCACAAGGTATTCAGTGCTATGCCATGCAGGGCCACATTTTTTCTATGACATTCTCATAATACCATTGCATGTTTTGCATATGGATATTTTTTTATGTTAACATTCATCGTTTCTTTTTTATGTTCATTTGGTTTCGTGAATGTTTTGTATAGTGCAATATGGTCATTCAGTGCTCATTAAGCTCATTAAATTCAATGACCCAGAAAGATGTTTGCTGATGAAAATGAGAAGACTTTTCATTGTCAATTATTGTTAAAATAATCCAAATGTTATATCCTGTTGGATGCTTTAGAAAAAATGTTCGAATTGAATGTGTTATGTATGTTTACTGAAGTCTGAAGCAGAGAGTCAACTAAGAAAAGACATTCCATTTAATGTGAAACATGCATGTATATTGAAAAGAAACACTTTTGGTGTTACAATACTAAGAGGAATTCAACTTTGCATGTGTTTCCAAGTTCACAGAACAAATATTTTTTGAGTTCACTGTGAGTTGAAACAGGCACATCAGTTGCCAGAGTATAAGGAAAGTTACTATAGCCATTAATCCTAGAAGTAAAAACATAATCAAAAAGAGAAGTAATTAGTTTTTTTAATCAAACACTCTAATATATTGCAGGTAAGCATAGATGGTGAATAGAATAATGGCTAATGGCCAATTAGGAATTTTTATTTTGGTGTGCTTTAAATTTTCTTCTTAAACAGGCTTACAGTAGTCCTGTGTGAATATTTTAGTCTTTCAAGAAATTGAGGTTCTTGTATTATTCATATTTCCATTCATTTAAGACAGTCTGTTAAGTCTTTGCATTACCATCTCAAGTGTTTTTTGTTTTTATTAATATGGAATTGGTGCTGACAGGTTTCATTAATCACTTGCAGTTGAGACTACCACATTTAATTCAAGCTTATTTAAACTGTAATTTTTAGAAACATGTAATAAGTGGTTATTCTAATTTTATAATCAAGGACAAAAAAGACAAGACTGGCTAATTATTTGTGAAATTGGTTGACTTTCTGTGAAGACTACATGCTTTTGCTCATTTCCATTTGAGCACATACTATTGTAATAATTAGTAGAAGTAATGTTATCATTCCTCCTTGTGGTTAAGTGTAGCTAGGTGTTTCAAGCAATTCTATAAACATGACATACTTGTTTAAAATCTTCATTCCTTTAATGTGTGTTTAATTGCATCTTAGCTCTGTTAACTGGTATGAGTGTCAAAACCCAAGATAAATTGTGTTAAGTGAATTGAAGAGAAATTAACCACCGTGTTTTCAAAGGGTTCGTGTTAGTATTTATTAGTGAAATTTTTTCCTCTGGATTGGAATGTTACAGGTATAGTACATTTTCATTGGAGCTGAATTAATTCATGTCATGTATGTAGTTTAAGAAAACTAGTTTAAACTAATGCTACAAAAGTATGAGTAATTCATAACCATGAAATGGTATTTCATTAAGAATGAGTCAAGTATTCCTGTGCTTAAAGTTCCCAGGATTTTAATACTCTTGTTCCTCAATCGTTGGATTCTTTGGACTCCTTCAAAGATTTCTTCTCGTACTTACTATATATAAAATGATGGAACATTACAGTCACCATTTATGTTTTTTGAAATGTGAGTAATTAATAATTTAGGAATTTCACTATTTCCCACAGCTAGTTAAGTGCTTTTTTTTATATATATATATATTTTTGTCTTTGGGTGTTTACTTTCACTGTTTCCATATACCCTGCAATTTCCAAATGATCTACAAGTAATTTTTAGTGGTATTGATGTTGAAAATTTCTACTAAAAAATTCTTATTTTGCTAAGCATTAGTCAGGTTCCTTACGAAATTAGAGTAATGTAGAGAATCAGTATGCAACCAGGTAATGTTATGTAACCAGACTGCCATACCCAAAGTAGAGGTTTCCTATGCTTAAGAGTAAAAATCAAGGGAATACTAGCAAAAGGTATCATATAATATAAGTAAACCAATAATTATGTACACTTTGGACAGTTTTGGAGCTAGGATCTCAAAATAGAATAAATATTCTTTTCAGTCTTTCAATAAAATAAATTGTAAGTTAAACCCCCTCCCCCCATCCACTTTTCCAAGTCCTATGCTAACTTGCCTTGTTAAATTATCTCCAATTACCCTTTTAAAAGATTGTTGAGCAATTCTATACTAGTCTCTTAGGCAAAATATGTGTTGTGTTGATACATTCCATTATGTATATATTTACTTGATGACTGTGCTGATACTAAGATGGATATTCCATTGTGTGATAACATGTGCCATAGACAATGATATAACATCTTGTGACGTGATAATGTTCTGTGCCTTTGTGCTCTTGTAGATGTTGAAATGCTGTGCTGTTTTGCATTAGTAGAGGTTATATGATAAACTCTACTAAATTAACCAATGCTGTTGTTAATTAAAGAAGAAAAAAAGATAACTGGCAGATATACTGACTCTGTGCTTTGAGAGCTTTTTCTACTATCTGATAGGTATTTATATATAATGAGTAATACCCAGTAGTTAACAATGTAGTTTTCACAGCAAATATTGGAGGTATTTGCTATTTCAGTTTACAAAGTAAATAAACTGAGAGAAAGTAGACAATTTGAGTTATTTTCTTTGTAGATTTAATCCTTACAGTTTCACAGAATAAAGAGATTTTGAAATTTCATTGTACTTCTAACACTGGAAAAAGTATCCAGAAGAATGTAAACAATGACTAAACAAATTTCATGAATAAACAATACCAAGAACAAGAGACTTTGCTTAACAAAATCCAAAGGCCTAAATGAAAATGGTTTTCTTATCTTTGCACGGGTTGTTTGATCTAAAGTATGACCATACTTTGTGTATGCCATTTATCAAGTAAACCCTGTGGTGTCATACAGGGGTGCTGTTGTCTGGCACGGCCAGACATACCATGCAGCAAATGGTCAAACTGCCTCATTTTCCTTAGCCATGGTGTGCCCATCAGGCAATATTCAATCATGTGGATGGGCTTTAGTTGTTACTTAAAATTAAAAGTTGTACCTTGAAATGTAAAAGCATGATTTTTTTCCCTTGTATATAATTGAAGACAATTCAGCAGGAACTCCAAACAAACAAATCAAGAAGACTCAGCTGTATACATGTATCTACACGTGATATCCTTTTACCACAGGAAGATATTACTTAACTGTTAGAGAACAAAGGCAAATAGGGAAAAAAAAATCACAGTAATGACCTGTTGATAAAGCTTTTTTTTTTCTCAGGAACAAAAATCAAGGTAATCTGATATACAAGTTGAACTAGACATTATTCAAACTCCATCCTTTTGTGCATGTGATGCAGGATACATTACCTATTTTGGTCCCTGTGCAAAGATAGTTTTCATTCAAGTTTCTTTATATTTCCCCCCAAATCCCTTGCTCGTTGTCAAGGGGGGGCTTAGGAGATAGAGACAGATCTCCTGCCTTGGACCTCAGCCCTCACCCCAACTAATTTTGCAGGATCTTTTCTACTCTCCCTTTCCTTTTTCCTTCTCTTCATCCTCTGCTTTCCAAATCCTAAAGTGTGAGAGCTGTGCTGAATAGATGAAAGGCTGGCTTTGTGTTAGTCCTGAACAGCCTTCATACTGTTTGCTCTTCTCTCTTTACTTTTCACTACCATACCTGCCTGAAGTGTTCTACAAGCTCTTACATTTTACATGTGTTGTCCTAATTGCTAACTCGTTTTAACCTGTTTTGCCACAATATTTTAAGTGTTGTATGACCTTTCTTTACCCAGGTTTTTTCCTCCAAGCCTCACTGTATCTCTATATTTTGACCTAATGACCTTGGATGTTGATGAAGCAGAATTTTTCAACAAATCAATTCATCATATCTACATTAATAATAAGGGACATGCACTATATCATGTAAAGTTGAAGTGCTAAATGTAGTACATTTTGACCAGTAGGTAGTATGTGGCCATCACAAGTTACTGATGTGAACAAGGTTACAATACCTAAGGAAGTGGGAAAAACCCTGCTATGGATGCACACTATTAACTTGCGTCTGGCAGGGTCAAAGCTCAAATCACCATTTGGTGCAAGGACAATTTGACAGCTTACCTGTCATATGTGTTCATTAGTGGGATGCCTGCTGATCTGGATAGGTCTTAAGACTACAGCATTTAGTGTTTTCCTTTTAAGTCTTAAAAACTACTCTCGCACTGATATCAATAATCATAAATATTTAAAAACAAAGATGTATACTCTATATTTCATTAGAAGTCATTACTGTCTATTACTATGAAACCTTGTGTGAGCACCCATTTCATGAATGTTTAATGTTTGAAAAGAAATGTGCTAGAGATCGTCATATAGCACTATGGTAAAATATTGCATCAGAAAGGGAGAGTTAAAGATAACAATGGTGTGTTAGATGTCAAAGGTTTGAGAGCATTATAGGGCATTATGGTAGTGAAAAGGGAAAACGGGGGAGCAAGTGAACTAGAGCAGAAATTAGTAGAAAGGGGAGGGTTAAGGAGGTAGGGCAATTGAGGGAATTTTAGTGTCACTGGGGAAGGTATAGGATTAAGTGAATCTGTGACTGGGGAAGGAAGAGAGATAATAGGTGATAGCAGTAGATATGGTTGTCTTATAGTAAGGGATTAGGTATCCGAGGGTGGAGATAAAGGATCAAGAATAACTGAAGTAGTAGTGTCTGGGGTTTCGATAGGGATGGTGGGGTCTGGGGAAGGCTATTGTGATAAAGGATTCACCTGTGTATCCAGGAGGGAGTGGAAGGGATAGTAGGGAAGGAGGGAGGGGGAGGGGTGAGAAGATGAGGTATGTGGAAAAGAATCGGGTTAGGAGGGGGTTTTGGTTTGGGTGGTTTGGAGGATGAGGAGTTTGGGGAAGGGGTTGGGGGAATATAAGGGGGTAGAGAAACTGAGTGATTTGCAGTGTATCTGTGACTGAGGAAGGAGTAGGGACATTGATCAAGGAAAACAGATGTGGCTGTTGGAGAAGTAGAAGAATCCAGGGGCTGAGAAAGGGAGACTGGGAAAGATGGTGAAGTATCAGGAAGAATGTCTGGAAAGTAGAGGGCTGGAGAACAATACTGTTGTGATAGAGGGGATTCGTGTGAGTATTTAAGTGGAAGCAGTAGAGAGGGTGAGGTATGTTGGAAGGGTGTAGGTGGAAGAGGGGTAGAGGGAACTTGGGGAGGAGGAGGATGGATATCTGCAAATACTTTAAATGTAGCAGGAGTAGGAACAGAGGGATTGGGGGTTGATGAGGGAGCAGTGTTTTCCCTTGGGTCATCTTTAAGAAGTTTTGGATATCTTCAAGGGTTTCTGGAGAAACAAAGGTTCTCTTATGAGGAGGAGACTGAAGTGAGGAGGAGGGGTAGGTATTGGGGAAGTGGTAGAGATTGGAGTATCTGGATTTAGAATGGAAAACCGATTTGACTGGTGGATAGGGCGAGTAGACACAGGACATAGGTTTAGGGTTTAGGGAGAGATACCTGGGGCGATGCAGAAACATCTTGTGTAGATGGTGGGGTAGCAGAGCATAGGACTGTCTTGGAACAAGTTGAGAGAGAAAAACCTCGTCGTCGTGCTTCCTGCCTGGCCTCATGTAGAGTGAGGCCTATTTTAAATCTGAGGACTGCTACCGCACATTCAAAGTTATTGGCAGGGGAGCTCCTATAAAACACATAATGGGAGTCTGTACAACTGGTACATGTACGTGACTGAGCAGGGCAATTTGAATGGTCATGACCTATTTCATGAAAAACTAGATTGAGACACAAAGTAGTTCTATCGCATCGTACCCCCAACACCAGGATGAAAACTTCACAACATGCGCGATCAAGTCTCCTATAAGGTGTGCAGTTTTTTGGCACTGGCTGCATTTGTTGTGAAGAAATAGCCTCTAAAAAGCAGGTATAAAGCTTTTTTAGCTTCATAATTCTGTCATGATTGGATTAAATATTATAAAAATCATTACAAGTGCAATCAGTTATTACTGTTGACGATTCATATTTTACCAAACTTAATTTCATTATTCATTTTGCCTATTTTCTTATAAAAATAAAATATATATTATTTCTATGTCAAAAAACAAACAATTATGAAAGTCATGCACCTCCATTTATTTTATATTACAGTTTAGTACAAAAATGCATTTTATAAATAATATGAAAAGACAAACTTACACACAACACAGCACAAGTTTTATAAGTGACAGAAGAGAGTAATCAACTACTGTCAGGTATTTACTCCTAAATACAGGAAGTTCGAAGAAACAAAACAAAACAAAAAATATATATAAATATCTGTAAGCATGTGCTGCTCTTCATTCACGAGAAGCAGAAAAATAATTGAGGTGTGCCTCTGTACAGCAGCATCCATGCAAGAAAATATAAGAACCTCATTGGAGCACACTGGTTTTAGCAAGGCTAAAACATTAGTTCATAGATAATCTCCTCACTGAAACTGTACATGTTAAATCTGACTTATTCTGAGATCAAGAGACATTTAGATACAATATCTAAAATTCATATCCCTACAAATGTCTATGTCTAAGCAAGTTTCGATAGAAATATATTATATATATATATTACTGGATCCAAAACGACACCAAGTGTGCACACCTTTTTTCGATATGTGCATCGTCAGGATGCCACCATTCACTAGAGATGTCTAATGCAATACTGCTAACAGGACACATCACCTCCTGGTTTTGAGAAACCACCAGTAAAGTAAAAGTAAGAAAAAAAAAATTATGTACTGTCGAGAATTCCTAGGGGCATACAGAAAACTGCATAATCTTTGCGTATCAAATTTTGACGAGTAATGCCGAGTCTTTTCAACCATCCATTTCCCGGCTGACATACATTCCATAAAGTGTTTATATAAAAGCATAGAAGTAATTTCCATGAGTAGGTCTCGGAGGCTACATTCACACTGCCGTAGGAAAAAGGAAATAGCCTTTAAACTACCAATATTCTCTATCCTATACACATGGTGCAATGTGCGTGGCATGTTCTCTCACTCAAAGAATCAAATCTCCTTAATAATTTATTCTAGACTAACATAACATAAATACATACCATTTTCTCATACAAATTGTTAGTCTACAATAAATACTTTGATTCCTAATTTATTTTCATATCCAACATCTTAAAACACAATATTTTGTGAGGGAAGGAGGTCCTAGCATACAGGTAGTTCTGGCATGTAAACATTTTATTTGTGATATACAGGTATGATCAATTATTTGATTATGTTCCTTTTTTTTTACAAATACTTATGCTGCTTATATAAAATGCCCTTGTTAATACATATAATATTCAGCATACTATAATTTAACAAATCATTATTGCATGCAATTTAACGAATATATAAGATTTGTTTCACAACCTTGAAAATTTTATTTTTTGCCAATACTCAGTTTATTGTCCCTGCTTCAAAAGTTTCTCTCATAGACTTTAACATACGGTTCTTTTTAATAGAATTATCAATTTCAGACATTTCTTTCAACAATTCTTCAAGGGCTGTAACAGCTTTTAGTGCCTCTTGTCTGGTCCCACTAATACTCACTGTCCTGCTAGTTCGGTGGTGACTGGCTATGGTGTCAAGTACTGAGAGAATCCGAGTGCAGTGTGGGGAGGTTAGCAGTTCTTTCAATTGCAAAACACAACTATTTGCTGAAACAGTAGTAACAGAGTTACTTTCAGCATATGACTGTTGCTTGGCATCAAGACTTAGAACTGTAGAGCCATGGAGAATGCTGGCAGAGGTTATCAATGTTCGCACAGTGTCAATGCTAAGATTGTAATTAGTTAATAATGCACACACTTCAACAACAGTCTTCTGTTGACAGTGATGGGTAAACTGTTGTAATAATCGGTGTTTCTCAACTGATTCTTTATCTGAAACTTCATATCCACACACTAAACATTTCTGAACACCGTCAATTTTCGTTAAACAAAACAGATCTACACCTTCAAAGTTTTCTAGTTGTCCATTTGTTTGCAATTCTTTTCTCACTTTAGAGTTACTCTTACTGTATGGAACAGGAGTCAATCTTTTACTTTTTTCCAGTTGTTTCTCACTATCACTTTTGTCTGCTACCTCAGAAATGTTGACAAAGTTCTGTTTAAAGCTGTCCTTCAGTGGGGATGCTGCATTCACTCCCTCATCACTCGCAACATTTTCTTTGCTTCGTCTCCTGGACTTGATTGGTGACCCCTGGCATGGATTGGCCACTAAGCTTGAATCTGCTGCATCAGGAAGCAGAGGGTCTTGAGGAGCAGCTGCTGTTCTATTCATTCGTTTCATGGCCTTTACATCATTCCGATGTGGTGTTTTCTTGGATTTAGCAAGGCGGCAAGAGGTGGTGTGTTTTCTTTGAGTGCCTTTTAGTGCAAAGGTTAAATGGCAATGTGGGCACTCGAAAAGGTGGTCCTCTGCCTCCATCAAACTCATTTCAAAGGCTATTGTTACGCAATCCTGTTGATGATCCTCGAGAGATGCAACAGATCCAAATCGTAAGCCACAATCAACACATTTCAGATCATTCATGTCATCCTTGTGGGCATTCTTCTTTCTTTTCTGACCTTCAGAATTCTTCTTTGGTGATTTGGCACTGACATTTTTAGAGGCTCCTCCTGTGTTAACTCTCAGAGGACTTTTCAAGCTACCTACATTCTCAGCTTCCACACCAGGCATGTTAGACATGGAAGAAGCTCTTTTTCGTTTTGCCTTTTTGACTTTTCCAACATCTGTTTTATTACCCACTTCATTTTCTTGAGGAACACTCACAGCCGATTCACTTTGTGGCAACAATTCATGAGAAGACTTGGTTCTTCTTTTTCTTGGTTTTGGTGGAACTGGCACCTTGTTTTTCCACACAGGTTGAATGTTCTCCACTATTGTAGGTTCATTAAGGTTACCACTTGTGCCAACAGCTTTTAGATCTAGAGAAGCTGGAGTCTCTTGTAATAGTATGGCGGATGATCTAGTTGGAATGTCTTTTATTTTTTCAACTGATGATCTCCTCCTCCTCACCTTGGCTGGCTGTTTCTGAGAGATATCACCTTCACTACTGCTCAAAATGTCACCAGTATCTGTTGATGGTGTCTCAGAACCTGCTTCTAGCCAACTAAGAGGTTCCAGAACAGGCATTACTGGGACATTTTCTGTTGACTTTCTGATATATTTCCTAGTCTTCTGTGTATCTGTCTTTAGATTTGTGCTGCTTTGCTGTACTTCTGCTTCCAGATTTGTGGTGCTCTGAATTGCTTTTGAAGACTGCATGTTAAAGGCATTTGGTTTTTCTTCATTATTTGCTTTAGTATAAAATATTTTGCTTTTGTCCTTTGTACTTTTGGACACCAGGATTTCTGTAGAATTATTTTCAATTTTCTTTGATACAGTGCATTTTCTTTTTGGTTTTGGGGAAGAAGATAATTCTGTATTGCTACTTGTATCAATCTCATTTTCTGAAGCTGCCTTGGGGACTGTGATTTTGGATTTGTGTTTCAAGCCTATTCTTCTCTTATTTTTCTTGATAGATACAGGAACAAAACCTTCAAAGCCTGAGGATTCAGAATCAGCTGTGCCTGTATCCATGACTTGTCTAGGCAAATGCTTCTGAACACCACCAGTTAACTTTCTGCTCTTGACAGCAACACCTTTAACCTTTTCCTTGATTATATTCGACATAGCTATTCTTCTAGGTAAACTACGACCTTTTAGTTGAGCAATAGTAGCAAGAGGTAAGTTATCTTCATCATCATCATCATCATCATCATATTTACGAATGTTATTGGCCATACTGGTTTCAACATGAGGAGTCAATGCTGGGACAGGTTTCTTAGTTGTCTTTTTTCTCTTGGTAGGAACATGAGCCAATGTTGCCTTCCCTACACAATCATCATCTACTGTGCTTTCACTTTCCTGCGACTCATCCGTTGTGTTAGGCAATTTTCTGACTCTCAGTTTCCCTGAAGTCTTTCTCTCATCTTCACTACTACCGATGACAGATTGTTTGCTTTCCCGTTTCTTTTTCGAGGCTTTCTGCCCAAGTCTCTCTAGCTTCTCCTCACTCTTCATAGCCTCAGAAACCAGACATTGTAATCTCATGTTCTTTTTCTTTGGCATCTTTCTTTCAATTAGTACCTTAGAATTCTTGCAAATATCTAAATAAAGTGATGCATTTACAGGTTTAGTCGTATTCTCATCATAGGAATCATCAAAGGTCTCCCCTTCACTGGTGAGTGTGCTACCTCTTCTCTGCAATGATGCTCTTCTGGCAGGCTTGCGGCCCTCACTGTCAGAACTCAGCACAGTGGTCTTCCTTCTCTTTCGTAGGCTGGTAGAAATATCTCTCTCTGATTCCTCTAAGCCATCAGAAGATTCCTCTTCAAAGTCTGTAGAATTTCCTGAGGGCATGTATGTGAAATCATCATCATCTTCATAGTTTGCAATTTTGCGCTTTCTCTTGGAGTTAATGGCAATTCCTCTTTTGTTTCTTCAATTTTTGGTTTTAGTACAGTGCTGTCCTTCACTATTTCTCTTTCATCCTTGTCATTCTCAGTTTCTTCTGGGTCCAGACAAGACCTAAAAGAATAGCGTTGGTTCTGCGGCTTTCTTTTGTTCCTGAGTCCCATTCTGCCACCACAGCGCCTACCAGTGCGGAAGTTGCGACTCACTTCAGGCTCAGAATCATCAGATTCATCCTCTGTTTCTTCACTCGATGAGATTACGTACACACTTTTCTTTACAGGATCCTTGTTCAGCTTTGTGTTCAAATAACGCACTTGCTTCTGGTGCTTTTACTGGGTTGTATTTTAGATTCTGTTCCTGGCTTTCCCCTGATTCTTCATCAGTGTTAAATTTCCCAGGAACTGCTGATTTTCTTGGATATGGCAATTTTCTTCCAGTCAAATACTTCTTAGCTTTGACACCCTTCTTTTGCACCACAACACCTTTTTCTTCGGCAAGCACAGAAAGTGGCACTACTATTTCCTTTTCCATTGGGACACCTATTTCCATACCTTCTTGCTTCTTTTTGCTAATTTTTTTTGCAACCTTGACAATGGTTGTGTCCAAAAGAGCTCTACTGCCTTTGATTTTTTTGCCTGTTAACATTGTTACTTTACCAATTCCTGACTTGCGTATGTTTTCAATATTTTTCTTGGAAGTCTGCTCCTTTTTATCACTGATCTTTTTCTGGGAATTTACCTCGGGTATCACTTGGCCGCCTGGGTTTTGGTTTAGGGGTTTCCTCCCAACTTTGCTCCCTGGGACCTTTGTTTTGCTTTTCAAATCCTTGATCTTACATACAGGTTGCAGTTCCTTATCAGAAAGACCTACTATGCCATTCACCTTCTTCAAGGCTTGTAATCTTTTCTCATCAAGTAAAACATCTTTATTTACATCTTTATGCTTGGTCTTCTTCTTAGTCACTTTTGGATTATTAGAAACATCAACAATTTCTGAGGTAGACTTTGTATTAAGCTCTTTGATGTTGGCCACTGATTCACTAATCTCTCCCTTAGCCTGTTTTTTCTTTACGACCTTTTGGTTTATCCCCACTTTGTCACCACCACTTCTGGCTTTTTTACTCTGCTTTGACTGCTCTGCACTTCCTCTTCTTCTTGTTATTTTCTTTGCATTGTCATTCTCACTGTCACCATTATCATCTTTCAAGCCTTTCCCACCAGCAACTTTGTCCTTCTTTTCCTTGTCTTTGATGGAACTTTCTCCACTTCCCTCTAGGTTCTTTGTCTTCACTTTTTTGCTTTTAGCAGGATTCTCCTCCTCTTTCTCTTCTTCTCTAGCAGTTTCATCTTTGCTTTTTTTAACTTGGGTCTTCACACCTTCATCCTTGCCCTTTTTCTCCTCTTTGCCTCCCTCTTCCTTCCCCTTCTCCTGTTGCTTTGAGACATTCTCCTTAACACGGTCACTGTGCCTTGTCTTCCTGAGTCTCTTAGTCTCCAGTGCCTTCTTACGCAATTTCATTCTGATAGTTCGGCGGCTGGACATACCAGCCACATTCCCTGAAGCTTTCTTTGACCGGTGATGATGGCCTTCAGACGATTCTTCAGCTCGGCATTATCTATAGAGCCTACAGCCAGTTCTAGGCGACGTTTGACACCTGATGATTGGAAAGCCCCCTGTGAAGTCCTGTCCAACTGTGGGGTGTTGAGCCCTGATGACCCTGTGAACAATGCGGCAGCCATTAGCAAACAAATGAATTCATACCTTTTATTACCTTATTTATGTAAATATACAAGTCATAACATATAAGTGAAAAGCCCAAAATTGAGTAAACCCAACATGAAAACTGGAATTCCAAATTGCTTTTCTAAGTATCCCACACAATACAAGCAAAAACCAAAGGGGTCAAGCCAGGAAAGCTGCAATTAACTATATTTCCAATTAATCTACTACTCATATCATACGCATTTATCTTGTATACTAATCATACCATGATTTGTTATCTACCAAGACACCAACCACCCACACCCACAACGCACACACACAGACACACTCACCACTCTCTCAAACACACACACACACACACACACACACACACACACACACACACACACACACACACACACACACACACCACACACACACACACACACACACACACACACATATACACATCTACACACTCTCACACTCTCACACTCTCACACTCACACACTCACACACTCACACACTCACACACTCTCACACTCACACTCTCTCACACTCACACTCTCTCACACTCACACTCTCTCACACTCACACTCTCTCACACTCACACTCTCACACACAGATGCACACACATGCCCACATAAAATAATTATAATAATAATAACAATAAAATTAAAAAGTAAACAAATAAACAAATACTCTTCAACAGCTATACACTACAACCATATTACAAATACATACTATCACCCGGCTTAGCCTTGAGTGGAGTGCCGGGCTGGGAACTGTTGCCATAACGGTTGCTTGGTACACCCTGACCCTTGCGACGCTTAAACCTGCAAATATATATTTCCTTTTTATCTGAATTAAGGATGATTTCCTCCTTTTCACAAAAAAAATCACTTGATTATTCTCCTAAAAATCTATATTTTCTCCAGTTATAAAAGCATGAATGATAAAAACTACTCTCCAAAGACTGAAAAAATTAATAAAAAAGGAAAAGATTACCTTAACCATGAACTGTTTTGCTTACTTTAACTTCATAATTTCAGATCAAAATACCTTAATCGGGATAATTCTTATAAAGATAATCTGAACTTTCCGGAGAAAGGGGGGGGGGAGACTTTTGCAGTTTTAGTCAGTGTGCACATGTTCCTGAGAGTCAAAATAAGTCCTATTCCATCCTTTAGGATTTAATGATACTTTAGTATCTTTAAAAAGTATGAGGATTTGTGTAACTAGCCATCTCCTGCTTAAAACCCAATCTTCAGTTTGATTACTTATTGTAGTACCTCAATTCTGAAAATATATCTAATATCTTGCAACAGTATCTTTTAATTCATGAATACATTTCAATATATAACCTGGCCTAGCACATGGTTTAACTGCTGTCATTACATATTGCTGCCTGGGTGGTATGTGTGTAGATGTTATGATCAAAGTGAGTTTAGTTTATTAGTGATGTTTACAAATAGATGGCTCCATCAGCCAAGTGTTTAGTTGCCAAGGTGTCATTACTAAAGTACATCCAATCTCAAGAAAAGAAAAAGTAGCAACTCATCCTAAATCCTTGTGTGCCCTAATTTGCCAAGTTGATTATAATTACAGTTTTGAATTTTGAAAACTTCTATTTAATATTTTTATCACATCTTATATAAATGTGCTGACCTCAACATGTTCTTATTTTTTCAAAAAGGCAAATTGGCAAATGGGAGAACTTCAGAGTCTGGGTGAGTTGCCAGTTATTCCTTTCCTAAAATTGGTCAGACTGCAGTCCTACATCTAACCTGTTTACCCTTTTCCTTTCTATTTTGAAATATTCTTTTTATTTTGTATTGCTATAAACACATTCTTCATATTATGATAATTATAACATCTATTATAGAAATTGCATCAGCATTGACGTTAGTAGAAAAAAAAAAAAAAAAATCCTGAAAACTCAAGGAAAGGGGAAATCAGGTAATTGCTAATTGACTTCTTGGTAGTACTTATGGAGCCATCTATACATAAAGACAATTCACAAAACAAAACAATATAACATGTTCCCAGTGGCTACGAGTTTAGCTTTTGAACATTCATGGCTAGGGGTCGGATACTCAAAACTGCCAGGAAAAAGTAATGTTCACTAAAAATTTGTCTTCTGAAATGACTTTACACATGACTCCACAAACACTCAGCCACAAAGGAGTCAATAGGTATACTTTATGATGTCACCTGATTTCCCTTTTCCTTAACCCAAATGCGGCGGGTCCCGCATCTACCGCGGGACCGGCCTGACCGGGCATATCAGCCTAGGTCTAAACGCGCGGTGCCGGGATGCTGCTCCAGCGCGGGTGGGTTATCCCGTTGGATCCAATTGCATCATGGCAATCACATGGCCAAAAACATGAGCAGTGGGGTACGTAAGTAGCTGCTATCCTGGGTGTCGGAAACATAGACCAAGCATGCAAAAACTTGTGAGCGATGACAAGGCTGTGTGCCTACCCTTTGCAAAGTTATTCTGCATAATTTTTTTTTTTTTTTTGCCATTTTCCAAAGTCCATATTTGATATTTGATTTGTTTTATCCAGATGGTAATATATAATTTTCTTTTCATATACTCCATATCATCTTTCTGTGTAGTAAATAACTTTAACCCATTGGCGCCGGGTGTCACGTACGTACATGCCATGGCTGTGTGTGGACCAAACGCCGGGGGCATCATGCCATGCACATTCCCGCGCTACTAGTTCGTCGGACAGAGGTTGTTTTTCTCCAGTAATAGCGGCTTCACTTATATGGTAAAGATTTTAGGCAATGGCACCTAAAGTGAAGGTAAACTTTCAAAATTTTAATATTTTTCTAAATTTTAGCAAAATAAAAGCTTTTAGGTGCTATATGTCGCTCGCAAACTACCGATCGAGCCGGGAGCAAACAGGGGAAACTGCTGGTGCGCGCCAACAAGCCAGTGCATACGTAAACCTGACAAAATTTTTACCAGTCGCTGATGGGGTTAAATATAAATGTGATTGTCATATTTTATTTTTTTGTTATTTCCAATTTTCCATAATACAACCTCTGCCATCAGTCACAGGACCAGGAATACAATTTTGTATATGGAAATAACATCCTCCCTGGGGCCGGCACTGTTCCAGTCACAGCTTTCACACATTATATTCTACACTCGTTTGTCAATGGTAATAATGCAAAAACCCCTTCCAAATGCCAAATGAGTCTTATCACACTCCAAGAGGTTTATGCACTCCTGGCGAGTCCTTTCTGTCATCCTCATGACAGCAAGTTTGCATCATGCAGCCTGCGACCATTTTGTCCATGACAACATGTTCATGTCACCTGGCCTTTGACCTAGATTTCCCATGACAGCAAGGTCATGTCACCCATATCATTGGGGTTAAATTTAGAGTGGAAAAAAAAAAAAAAAAAATAATAATGTGTCCAACCAATCACAAAAAGACTTTTTAACTAATATCTTCAAGAAAAAAAAAAATCTTCATATAAAAAAGTGCTCTTAATATTGAATTTCAAGAGAGCAGTCTCCAAAAAAGGATGACTGATTTTACATATTAGAATAGATTTTACATTTCATTTTGGTTGCCCATTTAAAGTATGATATAAAATTAGGAAGGCATGAAAATGACTATGCCATCATGGGAAATTTTGGCTGCGGTCTGGGGTACCAGGGTGCCTCAGAACTTGCCATTGTAAACATTTTGACTGAAGGCTGGGGTGACAGGAATGACTTTACACATGTGAACAAACCTCTTGGAAGCTGATTAGACTTATTTGGCATTCAGAAAGGGGCTTCTACATTATTTCCATTGATAACAATTGCAAGCCATGACTGGAAGAGCATTGCCTCCAGGGAGGGCACTGTTTCCGTGTGCAGATCCTATTCCTGGCTGCCAAGACAGGCGGAGCAGGTTGTGTTACAGAAAATTGAATATCATAAAAAATTTAAATATATGAGAAATACAGAAATAACAAAATGATACTTATTGCCATCATTATTGCACCAAGTTATAGACTATATAGAGAGGAAATATGAAGTCTGTGCAAGGAACAGTCTATTACCATCTGGATAAAGTAAATGAAATGACAAATAAACATTGGGAAATGGCAAGAGTTAAAAATGCTTACGTAGTAAAAGAGAACATAACATTGCAGAAGGGAGACATGGAGTCTTACCCGCACACTAGTGTTCACTGCGCCAGGCCTACAAGACACACACCTGGCAGTGTGCATTCACATATGCCTATTCCATATTTTGGGCCATATGAAGGCAGTGAAGCTTCCAGATGCAATGGATTAAGGAGATACAGCACACATATCACTTTTGAGCATCCTGCCCCAGTTGTATAATATATTCAGGGGCCACTATCAATAGCCATACTGAAGTGAGGCAAATTAATGATATCATTCAAACTATTTCAAACTTAAAAACATCAAATAAAAACTCACCTGAAACCTTTCTTATTCTTTTTCTTTGAAGATGCCACATGATTTAGGCCTCCACACTCTACCAAATGTGCATGGAATGGAGTTCTTTCTTGAAACTCAAGCTTACAAAGCGAGCAGACATATTGCGGCTTCTCAGCTGGGGTAGGGGTGTTTGCATCTGAATTCCTCCGACTTGGTGTACTAGAGGGGGTTTGCTTGGGAGTAGTGCAAGGTAGTGGAAGTTTGGGTGGCTGAGTGGTAGGTGGCTGATACTGTCTGCAGAAGCTTGCTGGGACATCCCCTTGCCCTTGAATCATGGTATGAGCACACCACACAGAAGGATGGGACTCCCACTTGTGGTCCATCATATCAGCAAGGTCCAAGTATCCTGCTCCACAAGAACAACAAATGTATGTATGATTTTTGGTCCACTCTCCATCGATCACAATCCCTGGCTCAGATAGAGGACCAGGTGTTTCATAAATCTTGTCATCCCCTTCTCTCATAGGCTGCATTCCTGATCTTGTGCGAGTTAGATTGGGTAAATCCTGTCCATGAGAGTCACTTTCCTCCTTATTTGCTTCTTGTTTTGCCTTGCTTCTGCCCTTCTTTGTTCTGGGACTATTGGAGGGCTCACCCAGATCTTGTCTTATAGATCCTCTTGATCGAATGGTTCCCAAACCCAAAACATCAAATAAATCATCCTCACGCTTGGCTCTTGGAATGAAACCTTGGCCCCTTCTCCCCTTTCTGCCTAATTTCTTTTCAAGATCAAACTGCACTGATAAATGGAAGTTCTTCACAATGCTATAGCTTTCCTCATTGAGGGTTAACTTGATATTTTTCTTTCCCTTCATATACTTTCCAATATCCTTCCCAGGGTCCAACTTTACTTCATCAGGTACTACTGCTTCACTAAGCACATTTTTAATTGGAAATTTCAGGTAACTTCTATCAAGATTAGGATCTGTCAATTTAGAAGAAGTATTTAATCTAAAATCTTTACCATCTAGATAGTTGATATAATTGTCAAGAGTATTCCATGACAATCCAAACCTGAAGTTCATATTTGATTCCTCTGGTTCCAAATCCAGAGTTTCTGAATCATGTTTGCATGAGGTAAGACAAGCATGTGCTAACATGCTGTCTCGCGTTACTTCCTTTTTACAACTGTTACAAGTGCCTTCACTAAAATGCAAAGCATGAAGGTGATTCAACAGTCCTTTTTCACATGCAAAATAGAAATTGCATATCATACATTCATAAGTACTGCAATGAAGTAGGTGTTTCCATTTATGAAATGGATAAGAATATTTCCTCTGATTACACTCACAAGAAATTTTGCCAGGAATGGCTTGATAAACATCCTCATGAATGTTAACATGAAATCTGACTGCATTAATATCCTTACTTGCAAACTGGCAAGAACGACAAACATATACAAATTCCTGAGTGTCAATCGCCTCTGTTACATGGGAGAAGTCTTTAACTCTTTGAAGCATATGCAACTTATAAGCTTGTGTTCTTTTTGCTGGAATGAAGTGGTTACAAATGTGAAACTCTGCAAGATGTACATCTAATGGCTGATTAAATGTCTTCATGCAAAGGGACACAATGTTACAGGTTCTGGTTTTCTGTCCACCTCCACTGGGTCATCATTCATCAGTGGGTTTTTCTCTTCTAAAACTTCAGCTTCTGAACTAATGTCCTCACCAATTTTAGCTACTAGTTGTTGTGACATACTAGTTGGTTGATGGACTCCAGTACTATCTAAATCAGAGCTGTTACCAACATCTTGGTTTCCAGTTCCATATGAAGATTGCACTACACTCTCAACCCAATTTGTATTACTTCACTACTTTTATTGCAATCTGTTGTACAACTTTCAATCTTTTTACAAAGACCACCATTTCCATCTATAGCCAACACTTCATTAGAGACTGGACTGGTTAATGATTTCAAATCACTAACAACTTTAAATTTGTGCTCAAATGCATTGGGACCCTCAATATCACTGCCAGTTTTGTCTTCATTTGGTGGCAATACTTCACATGGGAAAATGTCTGGCTCTCTTTCCCCTGTGCTTGCTTTGGGATAAGTTTCACTTATTTCTATCTCGGATGCAGGAGAAATGGTTTCCTTAATGTCAGACTCAGGTGTAGATGGTTCATTTACAATACACTCATCTTGAATGTTAGAAAATTCAGAAACGCTAGTATTGTCTGTTGGATTTTCAGCAGCCTCAGAACCAAGGTCAACAGCCTTTACTTTTAAGTGGTCGTGAAGGAGACTCGCATCACTCTCAACTGCAGCATCTACTTCTACTACTTTGGAAAGCCCACATTCCATACTATCAGGTGTTGAATGTTTGTCTTCAGTAACCTCAACTTTGGTATGTCTATCTGCAAAATCAGCTGTTATAATACTTTCATCTATAGCCTCTGTATTTTTGGGAAATGCCCTCAGCTATTGCTTGATTACCATCTGCAGCCACAGACATTGTATGTATACTGTCTGCAATTTCTGCTGTATTACTAATGCCCGCTGAAAGCTCAGATGCTTTACAAGTACATTCTGAAACTTCATCAGTTGTATGAATGTCTGCAGAATCCATATTCTCATTCATACAAACTGGAATATGAACAGCTGTGTCTATTTTGTCTGTAATGTCTGCAGCATTAACTGTGCTATCCAACAGATGATCAGTTTTATTACCCTCAGCTGCTGAGAAACTGCTTACTTGATTGTTTCCAGTATCAGATGTTGATTTGCAATCATCAAGACCTTTCACAGTACAGAAGTTATCTTCAATATCAGGTGCTCTTTGGATTTACCTTTAACTCCCAATACTAAACAATTTTCCTTATCCTCCAATACACGGGCGTGCACATCTTCAGAAGTTGCTACCTGTAGTCGGCACACCTTTTCTGTCAGGTTAGATGGTGCTTGATAAACCTTAGCAAGTGGATTATCAACCACTGCATCTTTAGTTGCAAGATGATCCAAGACAGATTCAGAGGGTGATTGATATAAGACATTCGCAGTTTCAGGATCTACAACTGAATCACCAGTGTATAGGGAATCATTCTGATTATCCTCAGTTTGTGGCTGATCCAAAAGCAGATGACCAACATGGCTATCATCAGTTGGAGGTGATCACTATGAGCACTGTTAGTTGATGAGTGATCTACTGTATCTCCACCTGATGGCTGACTGATTCTGCCATGTAATGGTGTAGGCTCTATCATACCATTTTTTTCTGATGGATGATCAATTCTACTGTCATCTATTGTTGTAGGGTCTACTACAAATTTGCTTTCTGGTGGATGATGGACTGAAGCTTCATCCACTGGATGATAACCAACTAATGCCTCATCACCAGGTGAATGATCTACTGATGGATGATTAACTACACCCTCTTCAACTGGCAAATGAACACCTGAAACTTCACCAACCTCTGGGCGATCAACTATACCTCTTTCAACTAGCAGATGAGAAATTGGAAAATGATCACCTACATCTTCAACTAGCTGATCATCACCTGGTGGATGGCCAATAACTGCCTCATCAACTGGTGGAAGATCCACTTTCACTTCCTCAACTGGTGGATGATCAGCTACTGCCCCATCAGCTGGCGGCTGATCCATTTTCACTTCCTCAACTGGCAGATGACCAACTTCTGCCTCACTAGCGGGTGGATGACCAACTTCTGCCTCATCAGCTGGTGGATGACCAACTTCTGCCTCATCAGCTGGTGGATGACCAACTTCTGCCTCATCAGCTGGTGGATGACAAACTTCTGCCTCATCAGCTGGTGGATGACAAACTTCTGCCTCATCAGCTGGTGGATGACCAACTTCTGCCTCATCAGTGGGTGGATGACAAACTTCTGCCTCATCAGTGGGTGGATGACCAACTTCTGCCTCATCAGTGGGTGGATGACAAACTTCTGCCTCATCAACTGGTGGATGACCAACTTCTGCCTCATCAGCTGGTGGATGACAAACTTCTGCCTCATCAGTGGGTGGATGACAAACTTCTGCCTCATCAGTGGGTGGATGACCAACTTCTGCCTCATCAGTGGGTGGATGACAAACTTCTGCCTCATCAGTGGGTGGATGACCATCTCCTGCTTCATCAGCTGGTGGATGACAAACTTCTGCCTCATCAGTGGGCGGATGACCATCTCCTGCTTCATCAGCTGGTGGATGACCAACTTCTGCCTCATCAGCTGGTGGATGACAAACTTCTGCTTCATCAACTGGCTGATGACCTACTTCTGCCTCATCAGTGGGTGGATGACCAACTTCTGCCTCATCAACTGGTGGATGACCAACTTCTGCCTCATCAGCTGGTGGATGACAAACTTCTGCCTTATCAGCTGGTGGATGACAAACTTCTGCCTCATCAGCTGGTGGATGACCAACTTCTGCCTCATCAGCTGGTGGATGACCAACTTCTGCCTCATCAGCTGGTGGATGACCAACTTCTGCCTCATCAGCTGGTGGATGACCAACTTCTGCCTCATCAACTGGTGGATGACCAACTTCTGCCTCATCAGCTGGTGGATGACCAACTTCTGCCTCATCAGCTGGTGGATGACCAACTTCTGCCTCATCAGCTGGTGGATGACCAACTTCTGCCTTATCAGCTGGTGGATGACCAACTTCTGCCTCATCAGCTGGTGGATGACCAACTTCTGCCTCAGCTGGTGAATGACCAACTGCTTCATCAGTGGGTGGATGACAAACTTCTGCCTCATCAGCTGGTGGATGACCAACTTCTGCCTCATCAACTGGTGGATGACCAACTTCTGCCTCATCAGCTGGTGGATGACCAACTTCTGCCTCATCAGCTGGTGGATGACCAACTTCTGCCTTATCAGCTGGTGGATGACAAACTTCTGCCTCATCAGCTGGTGGATGACAAACTTCTGCCTCATCAGCTGGTGGATGACCAACTTCTGCCTCATCAGCTGGTGGATGACCAACTTCTGCCTCAGCTGGTGGATGACCAACTGCTTTCATCAGCTGGTGGATGACAAACTTCTGCCTCATCAGCTGGTGGATGACCAACTTCTGCCTCATCAGCTGGTGGATGACCAACTTCTGCCTCATCAGCTGGTGGATGACCAACTTCTGCCTCATCAGCTGGTGGATGACCACTTCTGCCTTATCAGCTGGTGGATGACAAACTTCTGCCTCATCAGCTGGTGGATGACAAACTTCTGCCTCATCAGCTGGTGGATGACAACTTTTGCCTCATCAGCTGGTGGATGACCAACTTCTGCTCATCAGCTGGTGGATGACAAACTTCTGCCTCATCAGCTGGTGGATGACCAACTTCTGCTCATCAGCTGGTGGATGACCAACTTCTGCCTCATCAGCTGGTGGATGAACTTTCTGCCTCATCAGCTGGTGGATGACCAACTTTTCTCATCAGCTGGTGGATGACAAACTTCTGCCTCATCAGCTGGTGGATGACCATTCTGCTCATCAGCTGTGGATGACCAACTTCTGCCTCATCAGCTGGTGGATGACAACTTCTGCCCCATCAGCTGGTGGATGACCAACTTCTGCTCATCAGCTGGTGGATGACCAACTTCTGCCTCATCAGCTGGTGGATGACACTTCTGCTCATCAGCTGGTGGATGACCAACTTCTGCCTCATCAGCTGGTGGATGCCAACTTCTGCTCATCAACGGTGGATGACCAACTTCTGCCTCATCAGCTGGTGGATGACCACTTCTGCCTCATCAGCTGGTGGATGACAAATTCTGTTCATCAGTGGTGACGATCCATTTCTGCCTCATCAGCTGGTGGATGATCCACTTCTGCCTCATCAACGGGTGGATGACCAACTTCTGCCTCATCAGCTGGTGGATGATCCACTTCTGCCTCATCAACGGGTGGACGATCCATTTCTGCCTCATCAGCTGGTGGATGATCCACTTCTGCCTCATCAGCTGGTGGATGACAAACTTCTGCCTCATCAGCTGGTGGATGATCCACTTCTGCCTCATCAGCTGGTGGATGACCAACTTCTGCCTCAGCTGGTGAATGACCAACTGCTTCATCAGTGGGTGGATGACAAACTTCTGCCTCATCAGCTGGTGGATGACAAACTTCTGCCTCATCAGCTGGTGGATGACAAACTTCTGCCTCACCAGCGGGTGGATGACCAACTTCTGCCTCATCAGAGGGTGGATGACAAACTTCTGCCTCATCAGTGGGTGGATGACAAACTTCTGCCTCACCAGTGGGTGGATGACCAACTTCTGCCTCATCAGAGGGTGGATGACAAACTTCTGCCTCATCAGCGGGTGGATGACAAACTTCTGCCTCATCAGTGGGTGGATGACAACTTCTGCCTCATCAGCTGGTGGATGACAAACTTCTGCCTCATCAGCTGGTGGATGACCAACTTCTGCTCATCAGCTGGGTGGATGACAACTTCTGCTCATCAGAGGGTGGATGACAAACTTCTGCCTCATCAGCTGGTGGATGACAAACTTCTGCTCATCAGCTGGTGGATGACAAACTTCTGTCTCATCAGCTGGTGGATGATAAACTTCTGTCTCATCAGAGGGTGGATGACAAACTT